TCTACATCTCCCTCTTTAGAAATTTCATAGCCATCTGGATTCATACTTGGCATTACATGTAATCTTACATTTTTTAATATTTTTGTAACTCTTTTGTCATTACCAAAATTTTCACAAAGATATTTTAACAACAATAATAAAATTTCTCTACCAACAACTTCATTACCATGCATATTTCCTATATATTTTATTTCAGGTTTATTTTTACTATGTTTTCCAGGATTTTCTGTTATTTCCATAACATATAATTGTCGTTTTTTTATAGATTGTCCAATACTATAGAGTCTTGTAATATTTGGATAATTTAAATTTAATTCTTTCAAATACTTTTCCATCGCTATGTAATTATGATGCTTGAATTCCGTATTATGGAGAAAACCATATTTATCAACAGATTTGATAATTTCCTCAACTTTGTCTGATTTTAATTCCCCTATAAATTAACATAATATTAAAACTAAAAGCAACTAAAATTATCAATAAAATTTATATATATTATAAAAATTAAATTTAATATAAAATATATTTATAATCATATTTATAATTTATATTTATAATTTTTTTTCATAAGTTTTTCATATAAATAAAAAAATGTGAAGATAAAAATATAATAAAAATATAAAAAACATAAATTATAATATATACAAAATATATTATATATATATAATAAAACACAAGGTATAGAGAACACAAAATAGAACATTGAATAAAACATAAAAGACCAATAAAAAAAAGAAGCTATGAATAACATATCACAAAAACATTTGAAATATTATCATTTAAAGAATAAAAAATTATAGGAAAAGGCTGGAAGATATTTGAGAAAACTAAATCATTGTTTGACACAAATATAATAGTTTATTTTTTCAATTTTAAATATTATACATTTAATTTGATTATATATATTATACTATACATAAAATTACAAATATAATCATAAACATCATTCGTTATTTTATATCTTCTTGTTAATATTAATAAAATTACATGATAAATATTTATCGTTGCTAAAAATTTTTTAATGCATTTCTCATACATTTACTTCATATATTTTTTTCTATTTTATAAAATTATTACATTAGTTAAATTTAACTAAATAAATAATAATTTAATATGAATTTTTAAATAAACATATTTAATAATAATTTAAATATACTAAAATATATTTTTATAATTTTTAGAATTTTTATTTGTTCTTATAAATATTTATTATTGATATAAAATAAATATAAAAAGAATATTTAAATAAAAAATAGAATATTTAAATAAAAAAATTTATATTAAAATATAAAATCAAAATTTGTTATTTCCTTGACAACATAAAAATTATTCAATAAAAAAAATATGTTTCAATAAAAAAGATATGTTGAGTACATAATATTTTTCTCTTATATAATATATTCATTTAATTTTACACTTATAAAATATAGATCAATTATTTAAAATTTTAAATTTATTATTTTTTTAATTATATTTTATACAACTATTATAACATTCCTTGCATGCTTTTATTTAAAAATTATATGCTTTTGCATTCAAAATATTTTTTTTTACGTTTAAAATAAAATAAATAATAAAAAACGTAATTAACAACTATAAATATAAAAATAAAAAAATATTAAAATTATGTATAAAATTTATATGTTATGCTTCAATTTCTCTGTGCTTATGTTTAGTAAGTACATAATTTTCAATATAAATAAGTATAAGTTTTCTATAAATTGCAAAATTTGATATTTTTCTCCATACCTTGTGTGTATTTTTTATATTTGTTTGAACTAATAGAAACATAAATTATAATAAAATGTATTGGAAATAGAAGTATCAAATAATCTTGTGTTATGATCATATCAATGCTGTAAAAATGAAAATAATAAACATGATAAAATAATCAATTCATTAAAAATGATTATAAATTTATAAATAATAAATATAAAAATAAAAATTTTATTTTATAATTTTAATTTCGTAAAAAAATAAAAAA